TCCCAAACACCAACGCAAAGAGCTCTTGGTGCTTGGGAAAAGCCGTTCCTCACCTCCCCTGGCTTCAAGGGACAGTTTTGGAGACCCTCCAGGTGCCGAAGGGGCTGGGTCACAGCTAGCCTGGGGGCAGGTGCCACCCCAGGGCCGCTCAAAGCCACTCGTGCTTCTGAAGAGCCACATTTTTGCCTTTGAAAAACCCAAAAGAGGCAGTTGCCAAATTTTTCCTATTGGGCACCCTAGAGGAGCAGGGCATGGAGCCTGGGGTAGTCCAGGAAGGGTTTCCCATGAGGAAAAAGGGCCCCAGTGACACCCAAACCAGCCCATTCCTTTCCCTGGTACTGGGACCCCACGTGGGTCCATCCAGGGAAACCAGCCTTTCCCAGCAGGGAAAGGGATGATGCCAGAAGGAAAAGCAGCTCCCAGTCCCAAATCCCACTGCCCTTCATCTTCAAAGGGCTCTTCTCATCCCCTTCCCTACCTGCTCCTGGCATCCCCGACTAAAAGGATGAGCCCCACAGCAGGCTGCAGCATTCCAGCCTCCCAATTAAAATCAAAAGATCTGCCGAGATGGATCCCAGAGGGACACTTTATCCCAAACCTTCTCCCTCCTGCTCTCCCCAAAGATGGTCCCTGGGGGGAGAACAGCCAAAGACAGGACACAGAACATCCATCCCACCACTGCCTCAGGATCAGGGGTTTTGGGAGCCCTCTGGACCATGGCAGAGGGGCGACCCAGGCCCTGCCATGTCCAGCAGGCAGAGAGAGCCCCATTTCATCCACGAACTGGCTTTAGCACCCTTGAGCACCCATCCCGTGCTCCCCCAATCCCCCAAAACCTCCCCCCAGCACCTCCAACACCCCCCATGCTAAATCCCAGCAAGCCCCAAGCCCCAAACCCCCACTACGAGCCACTTTAGGGCTTTATTATCATTTTTCCCCCAGTTCTTTTTTTGCTTTTTCATCCTTTTCCTTTCCCTTTCCACCTGGCGCATCCGCATTTCCACCCCATTGCCTCGGCGCGGTTTCCAGCTGGGAGAGCACCGTAATGGCCTCATTATTTCCAATGAGGAATCTGCGTGTTCAATTAGGCAGAGAAGGGTAATTATCTACTTGGAGAAGATGAGGAAAAGCGGGGGGTGTTTTATCAGGGACCAGCACAGCTCGCAGCCCAGCCCCTGGATGCTCCAGCTCCAGGTGTCACCAGTGGCTGGGCCAAGGGGACATGGGGAGCCCTGGGATAATCTCACTGTGCTCCCAACCCCACTTGGCTGGATCTTCCCCACTTTACACCCCCCAAAAATACCTAAAATCCTCATGCCCCGCACCTGCAGCCTCCTGAGCATCCAGCTGCTCACTGACATCCTGTTTAATGAGTAATTAACCTTTTTCCTTGTTAATTAACTGGGCAGCACCGCTGGCACACAGACAGGTCCTGGCTCATGGTAGCCAAATTCAAAAGTTATCTCCAAATTCCTTTTGGTGCACAGACCCTTGGCATGATGCTTTTCCCCCAAACCGTTGCAACAAGTTTTTTCCTTAATATAGTTTATTTTCTGTGATCTATTTGGGATTCTTTGTTTGATTGGGTTTTTTTTTCTTCACTCCATTCAGTGCTTTTCCACCTAAAACACTCCCTGCCTCTCCCACTCTGGCAGCAGCAGGATGAGGGTCCATCTGTGCATGGCCAAACCCTTCCCCAACCTCCCCTTTCCACCACTTTGTGTCCAAACGGGCCAAGTTGGACCTAAACTCTGCCTTTCCCGAGCCTTCACCCAGGTTTTAGGCGCCCACTGGAAAATCCCAGTGCAAGGAGCAGTATCTCCCCGGAGTCCTGTCCTGGACAGCCAGATCCAGCTTTCCCTGGAGAATCACCCACCTCTCCACACCTCAGCCAGGGAAGGAGCCCATGTTCCCCATGGCAAGGGGCAACACTTCCCCCACCCGATGTAGTTCCCCATCTCTCTTCCCACCTCCCAGAGACACCGTTCTCCTCCAAAGCCCAGCACCCCTCGTTCCCAGTTTGCAGCCTCGCTGGGACCCCCTCCCTTCCACAGCAAAACCCATGGCTTCCCTCTGGAGCATCCCGAGGAGGCGGCCGGGATGCAGGGCACGCAGGGAGAGCAGGGACAGGCACCTGCCGGGCTCAGCACCTGGGAACATCCCGGCACACTCTATCCCTGCATCCTCCCCGCAGGAAAACCGCGGCTCAGCCTCGCTCCGCTGCACCCCGGCACCCGCTTTTCCATGGCTTTTCCATGGCTTTTCCAGACCACCGCCGAGCGATCCCACGCCATTCCCCGCTGCCCGAGGCCAGCCATGGCCGTCCCAAACACGGGATAACGGCGGGGCCGGGGGAAACGCCTCGGGATAATGATGGGAACACAGGGAAAATCCCCTCGGGAACACCAGGCAGACCCTGCGGCTTTCCCACCACGGAGGATCCCGCAGGGACCGGCAGCCCCCGGTGCCCCCCCTCCCTCAGCAGCCTCATTTCCTGCCTCGCTCATTCGCATTATCCCGATTTTACCAGAAGGCCCAAAAATTTGCAGGATCATGCTGCTGCTCCGCTCGGAAACTTTGGGTTTTCCAGCCGGGCGGCTTTGCCAACCTCCGGGATGGCTCTGACCCCCTCGGGAATGCCTTTCCCTCCCTCCATAGGCACTAAATCCTGTTCCCGTCTCATTTTTTAGGACAAAACGCGCTGGGCGAGGTCAGTCCCACCAGGAACGCTGCGGCTCAAGTTTCACCCAGCAAATATTCCGAGTCGCTTTGTGTCTCCCCGGACAGCCCAGGGAGGTCTGCCACGGGAAAACCGGGAGCGAATGGAGATGAAAGCGAGCCTTAGGGCACCTGTCCCTCCGGAGCATCCCGGAATCCATCCCGCCCGCTATCTGAGCGCGGGAGAAGAAAGGAATTTTGGTGGTTTTTTTTTTACAGTAGAGAAGCACAGGCTGAGAAAGTGTTGGGATGGGATGGGGAGGGTTAGGAAAGGCTGGGAACGTTGGGAAGGGATAGGAAAGAAGAGCTTGCCCCTTCCAGCAGCGGCGAGCGCCTATAAATGGCCTCTTTGTCATCGCAGCCAAGGCAGCGGGTGGAAAAACGAGGACGGAGCGGTTCGAGGGGGGACAATGAATGTCCCGGCGGGTTTGGGGGCCCTCCTGGGCGTCCCCTTCTCCCGAAGGTCCAACACCGGGGCCCACGGAGGGGTCCCGCTCGCCCCAAACCCACGCGGGTGATGCGGGACAGAAACCCAGCGCCGGGAAGGGGGGAGGGTCCCACCCCTGAGGGGGTGCTCTGGGTCCCCAGCGTGGCGGGGGGACCCTCAAACCCCTTGGGGACCCCCCAACCCCAGGTGCTCTGAGAGCCCAGAGCGGCGGGGAGCCCCGGCACTCCCTGGGGACCTCCAAGCCATAGGTACTCCGGTACGGCGGAGTGGAGGGAGGGGACCCACCACACCTTGGGGACCCCCAAAGCCCCCCGAGGCCCCGGTCCGAGGGCTGCCGGGGACCCCCCTCCCCCGTTACCTTTGCCGTAGGCGAAGGGGAGACGCAGGGCGCGGCCCTGGCGCACCAGGCTGATGTGCAGGTACGTGAACCAGGCGGCCGAGGTGAGCAGCGCCAGCAGCAGCAGCAGCTTCAGCTGCTTCCGGAGCTTCTTCACCGGGAGCCGCGGCATCCTGCCGCCCGCATCGCCCCCGCCACCGCCGCCGCCGCCACCACCGCCGCCGGGCTAACCCCGGCCCATGGGGCCCCCCGCCCGTCCAGCCGGCGCGCTCCGGGCCGGCCGCGGGGCGGCTGCGGCTCGTGGGGCCGGGGG